GCCTTTTTGCAAAGTAAATTTTAAAACTAATAAAATTTCACCACAACTTTCTGTAATGTAACCATCTGTAGATAAACTGTCGCGTTCAGGTCTTCTTGAACATGGCTCCTCAAATAAATTATCACCAATCACCTCTTGAAATTGTACACTTTGACCATCAAATTCAACACGTACTAAAGTGGTACGATTTTTCCTCAATCCATACAAATTTCCACCAAAACTTGTGAATGATTGGATTAAAGTATCATCCCTTAACATTTGCGTCACAAATGCTTGTTCACCAATCTTGCAAAAATTGATATTAGAAATACCATTGTAGGGATCATCTTTAACCAATACAACATAACAAGAAGGATCATGAGGACTAGATGAAAGATAAGCAAAATGCGTGAATGGTTCCAGTTTTGGAAGTTGCACCCTTTCGTGTGAATAGACATTATAAAGTGAGATATCGAGATTGTGGCAATCTTGTAACACCATCCATCCGTCCTTACATGCCTGCGCACTCTCATACTTGTTGTACATGAAAGAATAGTCAATATTATAATAATACTGTTGTGTGAAACTATATAGTGTAACTCGTTTATTTTGATAAAACAAGAGGTAAGGGTGCGATTGCGGTGGGGGAAACTGGGCAGCAGCATGGTTTTGGCATCATGATCAGCAACCAACTCCATAGCTCTCAGTTATATTTTTCAAATACGTCCTGCAATATGAACTAATTAAAAAAAGTAAACAATATAATGAATTGTCTAAATAATTGTACGGATCACTAGTCTTGATAGGTTAATCAACAACACATACACATGATAAAGGGCATTACAATGAAATTAATTAAACATATTTGCATTGAAGCCTGTTGAATATAATATTAGAAGCAATTTTTAATTAATTTCGATCTTATATACTTTTATAAGATTCAATAAAATTTGCGAGTCCATATATAACTCTTTATAATACAAAACAAAAACAAAAAAAAAAACAAAAAAAAAAAAAAAAAGGTTATACGAATAAAATTAAGGGAAAGAATATTACCAGCAAGAAAATTCGATTTAAGAAATTCAAGGTTCTGGCCTGACTTTGTGTTTTGTGTTGCATGCTGATGACAGATGACTCTACAGCTTCTTTAATAGCCTTCAAGATTACCTTTTAACTAATGGGATTAGGATTAGGATTACGATATTCAGATATATTAAGAGTATAATTTTAGTTTTCTAATCCTAAATGCATTAGTATTTGGAGTGTAGATTGAGTTTTATAATCCTTAATCAGGGCAAATTTAAAGAATATAATCTTAATCCTGCAGGGAAACAATTATCTCATCAGTTGTTATATATAGAGGAAGTACATTGAGAGATATTGCGAACTGAAGTTTACTCAAAGAGTGAAGCGCATAAATAATTAGTCCCCTACAGGTAATGCACGTGATCAAGATGAGTAGTATCGATGACTCTGGTACACAAAGGCCATGGTCAGATCTAAACGATGAACTCTTATCACATATTATCACAGGTTTATCTATTGGAGATTATTATACTTTTCAATCTGTATGTAGATCCTGGAAGTCAATAATACCACTTCCTCGTCTATTGTTGCCAATCTCACTTGAACATGCATCCTCACGTGATATATATTCGTATTGTGACCTGCATCTGATGTACTTGAACAAAAAACTAGTTTGTTCAATTTTTATGATCCAACTCGCAATATCAAACTATTCACTTGACATTCTTCATTGTTGGAGGATGATATTCTCGAAGTTGAACTTTATTATGAAAATCCAGGGTTGGTTGCTTCTTGGTAAAGGCGCTGAATCTTATTTCTTTTTCAACCACTTCAACTAAGGTTTAGAAATAGACATACCGGACACACCAGGTATAGCATTTCCATTGGTTTGTTTTTCCGAATCACCAACTTCTTCCAATTGTCAAATTGTTGGTATAGCTAGTATTTTACCAGAGTTTATTACTGTAGGAGATATTGAATTTTGGTGAGAATCATGGTCGATCTACGTAGAATTAGTAAAATGATAAAGACTTTATAGCTTTCGACTTGCACCCCAGTTATTCGCAATGGAGAAATTTATATTCTAGGAGAATCTGGAAATCTAGGGAAGCTCTGTATTCCAAAAGGAGAGCATGGAGACAACATTAATTGGAATATCATCGGTAAGTCACACCGGAAAACAATTTATGAAATTCCGAGATCGATTCTTTCTAGAGAGTGATGGAGATCTCATGTGTGTGGCAACTCTTGAGGAAGGGGGAAGTTCGGGTTTTGAAGCTTTGATTCTAAAATGGTTTGGCAAAAGATTGATAATTGAAAGGAAAAAGCCTTCTACGTTTCTCCCAAGATATCTTTGTCTCAAGAAGCAACTGACAGTAGGAGCTAGTAACAAGATATATTTTCCAAGGTTTTATGATGGCAAAGGGGTATTTTATTGTCTTGCAACAAAAGAAGTGGCGCAATTTTCCACAGAGTTTTTCAAGTAAAAAACTATTATAATACAAGAGGATTAGTTAAATGTATCTGGACTAAACTTCCCCGTATTTCTAATTCATGAAACTTGTAATAATGAATGATGGATACTATAAACAAGCTAAGTTTTGATTTGGAATATAAATTTTAGTTACTTTAATATATACTAATGTACCTTCTATGCTTTCAAGTATAAATAAAGTATTGTGTTTGCTGTGTCTATTAATATCCTTTGATGTCTAAATGTTCCCATTACTTCTATGACTGTTCTCTTTATTAAGTTGTTTGTTGTTAACTATGTTCTGATTCTTCATTCTCTTCTATCTCTGCTTAGTTCCTGGTCTTGTCAATTACTCTTTTTTTTTTTTTTTTAATCTTAATTATTCTTATTTTTAATCTAGCCATTAAAAAGGGGCTTAATAATAATAATAATAATAATAATAATAATAATAATAATAGTAGTAGTAGGAAGCCGTTATAATAGTTGAATGGTAAATTGAAGGATATTTCCTTAGGTCGTCATTAATATAGGCCCGAAAAAAAAAAAAAAAAAAAAAAAAAAAAAAAAAAAGAGTCAATTAATTCCATCAACTTTTTAATGGTACAATTACACCCATCAACAATTCATTTTGATGCAATGAAGCTCAAAAATTGATAAATATAGCGGTCATTAGAGATCCGGTCACCCTCTGACGAAAATTTCAAGCAAAAAAGTGACAGGCAAACGGTCGCCAGTCACGGAGAAGGTGACCAAGGTCGCCTTCTCTACAGAGAAGGTGACCCCTTGGTCTCGTTCTCCTTCTCCGTGACCGACGACCATTTACTGGTCACTTTTTTGCTTGAACTTTTCGCCGAAGGGTGGCCAGATCCCAAATAACCTGTGATAGCAGGTCATTTACTGTTTTTTTTAGCTTCATTGCATCAAAATAATTGTTGATGGGTATAATTGTATCTTTAAAAAAATTGAGGTGGCTAATTGACTTTTTAACTAAAGTTCGAGAGCATATTTGACCATTTAAAAATAAAAACTATAATAATAATGATGATAATAATAAATTTTTTTAAAAATAAAAACAAATTACTAAGCATCAAAACATAGAGCCAAATTGATAATTCAGCCATTATTGTTTCATAAAAAAAATACTCTGTACCAAATAATATGCTACAAATGAGGTGTTAATACAAGTACCTAAAATGCACCAACATTTACAAAATAAAATAAAACATTTATGAAGTAGCAATGCAATGCAACCTAGCTAGTGAGAAGACTTTCACCCAGCCCATTTCATAAGAGGGGCAACCAGAATCAACTATGATACAACTTACACTATTTCACCCAGCAACAGTGTCTTGTTTGTACTTTGTACCTCATCTAGGGCTCTGCTCAACTGGTGAGCCCGCGACAAACGGAACGAATCCCCGCCCGCCAAACACGGGACGCATAAACGAATCATCAAACTTACGCCAGTAGCGGTGCACGGTGTGGGTTGGCGTCCTTAGCAGCATGCGCAAGGCAGTTGGTCGAGCAACCTCAGGTCCGGTTATCATATCGCTTTCTGAGTCAGGTTGGTTGTCCAGGAGTGGCACCGTGAAGTGCTTTGGACTACTGGGTTCGGATGTTGTCATTGACGAATGACCGCTTGGTATCTGCTTGTGCGGGGGTAGCAGAAGGTTTATCAGAGGCTTCGTCATCAACCCGAATACCTAAAACCATCACCAAACACACAACCAACCAACCAACCAACCGTAAGATTTTATTTGGCGAGAATCATAGAAAAAAAGCCTCAAAAATGTGTATGTAGGTCCTTACAACTGTGCTGAACAGAACAACCGTAACAGTACTTGTAATCATTATTGCATTCTCGTGCAATGACATATGCCCCGAGGTTGTAAACTGCACCAGTGCATAATCTGGAAATGGAAAGACCACCCAACCGGCTTCTTTCTATTCTAAGTGACATTGTAACATTTTGTGCACTATTATACTTTACCGTATTATACGCAAGTGCTATTGAGACGGCGGCCTCTCATTCGACCAGCCCACCAAATTATTATCTAAGAGACAGGAGTAAGAGATGTATATTACTTGTAAAAGATTATATAAAACGAGAATTTTGTAGAGAACTCCTTACTTGTTGCCTGAAGGATATCTTGTCGGAAGAGTTTTTCTTTGCTAAGTTGGATTAAAACGACAAGGGGAATACGAACGCAGCTCTGCCTACTAAGATTAGGCCTACCAATATTGAGCTCACTGCAACTGATAGTCCCTGAAAGAAAAAAAATAAATACAAGAAGATTTATGAGTTTCGTGAACCATAGTTTATTGTTTATCTTTTAGATTTGTTATAATAAACCACACAAAAAGACAGAGTTGCAAAGGAATGCCTGCAACCAAAACGGGAGTAGGATTAAACCCAATTCGCAAACGTGTGTTACAATAACGAGAACTTGCAAAGACTCGAAGAGAGGTTTGTAGAAGCATACCTAGTAGTGACCCTTGAGCTCTCGGTAACATTGTGCCAGGTATAATGAGACATGACAATTCCACCTACAGAAGAATACAGTAAGTATGCCGCTTAGATAGAATAACTGCAAGACGCGAAAAATTTACTAAATTGCAACACGAGAATTTGTTTAAACAGAAAGCAAGCAGTTCATCAGCACTTCGACAACATTAGCGTCACAACTTAACTAGGATCATACCTCGGCCATTATATAAGACAAGTAAGACATGAGCATCATAAGAGCAACCTCACGATCGGTTGAGTGTCTGTCATCCATCACATATTAAATAAATGAAATTAACTAAGAGGTCAAAACGACAAGTAAAAAAAGTTGTTAGAATCAAGAAGCATGAAGATACATGTGTGTGTGTATGTAAAGAAAACGAATATACATGATACCTAAATAATCTCCAAAATCCAGAAAGTCAATGTCTAAGTGCTTGAAAATTTTGACGGCACCTAAATCATATAGATACGGCAATATGAGTTGATAATATATCAATCGCAGCATAAATTACTTTGGGACAAAGAAGGCATTGGCCGGTAATAAGAATGTCGAGGTTTTGATTAGTACCAAATGATATAATAGAACAGCTAATAAGTGTGCCAATAGCTCCAAACAACATAATTGTCATGAATTTCACGAAAAATTACTTCTTTTTCACCTGAAACCTGGTATAGAGTAATACATTTAAAAAAAAAAAAAAAAAAAAAAAAAACAATTATTTGGCAGAATTACACACTGAATCACGAGATTACCAAACAAAATTTCAAGTTAGGAATCAAATAACTACTCTAACAACCTCAATAAAGAATGGAATGCTCATATTCATAGTATTTCCTGAATTAGTTATTGATTGCGAACAAAGATACCACCCATAAAACATATGGAATTTTTTCACGTAAAATGCTTCACAAAACTATAGTTACTATAGTCTTGCTAGATTTTCACCCTTTTAAATTACCTTGCTCAAATTTTAATTGCTACCGACAAAAAAGGACAGCTTTTCTGCACAATACCATTCATGCTTTTCAATACAAATACCAATAACTTTCAGTTATAATTTTAAGCAACAGCTTAACAAATTATTATAATGATATGGAAATTCTAATGGATTCCTCAGTTTTTTATCATATCACAACAGAAATGTCAAATATTTAACTGTCTAACCATGATAAATATTCTAGGACTATATGCTGGTCGGATATGGCAAATTGATCCACACAGTGTTGTGTAGACCATAACAAAAAGTACATTTTTAATATACTAAAAGTACATTATTCGTGTACTGAATGTACATTATACAAAATAATATACTTTCAGTACTCAAATAATGTACTTTCCCTGAATCCAATGTACATTTTTAATATACTTAAAGTACATTATTTGTGTACTGAATGTACATTATTTAATAGCATGGTCCATACAGTTATGTGGACCATGGTCCACACAATAATGATTGGATTTTAATTATATGAGAGAAGACTAATTTAATGTCTAAAGAAGAAGGAATGCAGGTAATAACTGTTAATTTCCCCCACAAAAGCATTTTATACAAGGAAGATATAAATTCACAGGAATAAACAAACAATATAGAGGTCATTAAAAATCTTAAGATTTACCCAGCATTGAATATTATAGGTGGCAAGAGATATATAAAGAAAAGATCTTCGCTAAAGACGAGAAGATGTGAACTCTTTCCTCCGCTAAGGAGCAAAATTACAACTCCGGTGCACAAACCCTGACATCAATGCATAGATAAAATACAATTGTGAAGGAACATTAAGATTAAAATAATAACAATAATGATGAAAATAACAAATTATATTATAATTAAATTCTGATAAGGCTATTTATTCAGTTGACCAATTAAGTTCCTCAACTTTAAAAATCTTAACCAATTTGGTCCTCCGTTTGTTTGACTGTTAGTCAACCGTTAACTTGGGATCAAATTGGTAATTCGCTATAGTCAAGAGACCATTTTGGTAATTAACTTTAAGGGTGGGAAATTCGGTTAAGTTTTATCGAACCGAACCGTACCAAACTAGTTAGATTCAGTAATATACCGAACAACTGAACGTTAATAGATTCTTGTATATCGAACGATTCGGTAAAAACTCGAACCGAACGATAGAGCAAGTAGCAAGGGACTTGGATTTCCTTTTTATTTATCTATTACGGTATTCGGTTCAGTTCAATTTTTTACCGAACAGTTCGGATCAGTTTTTTATCGAACCGTTCGGTATACAAGAATCCAATACCGTTCGGTTGTTCGGTATATTACCGAACCAAACTAGTTCTGTTCGGTTCGGTACGGTTCAATTCAAGAAAACTAAACCGAGTTGCCCACCCCTAAAGTTAATTACCAAAATAGTCCCTTGACTATAGCAAAATTACCAATTTGGTCCCAAGTTAACGGTTGACTAACGGTCAAACAAACGGAGGACCAAATTGGTTAAAGTTTTTAAAGTTGAGGGACTTAATTGGTTAAAAAAAATAGTCAAGGACCAAATTGGTAATTTCACTATAGTCAAGGGACCATTTTGGTAATTAACTCAATTTTTAATTTATCACTCTAACATAATTTAGTGAGTAAAAAAAATAATATTTATAAGTTATCAAATAATATTAAGTCTTATATAAAGTTTTAATAGTACAAGACTACAAGTTTAAATCTATTTAACGTCATTTATAAATTTTAATTTAGTAGAAAATCATATTAATTTTAGATTTTGAGACTAATAATTAAAATTTTATTTTTAACAAAAACATTAATGTGTATGTGCATGTATATTAACATTATTTAGCCAGTATTTTGACTGGCCAAATCTCGGGCCAAAAAAACAATATGATCCAAATCTACTTTGTCCGAATTATTGTTATTTGCATATTGAAAAAGTTGTTTTGAGTAACTTTTTTAATTTTAGCATATTGGAGTTACAAAAAGCTATTAACCAAACACTTATATTAATTTTTTAATCAAATCAAAGAACTAATAGTGGTTAAATAAGTCAAAATTGACATATAGGCTAACTATTTTATCAAACAGTGCATATATATACTTTGTTCACAATTACTAAATAAAACAAACACTTACAAAAGTGTAACTTTTTCAAAAACAGAAGAAAAAAAAAAACAAAAAAAAAAAACAACAACAAAAAGATAAATATTTCGCCTCAATATCATTAATAAAATACATACAAAAATATATATATATATATATATATAAATTGAATTAATATTCAATATATAACTTACAAAATCATAGTACCCATCGTGATGTACAATTTTTCTTGCCAACATGAGGGCAAGGAATGTCAATGGAAACACTCATATCTTCCAAATCAAAAACATAAATGCTTCTGTCATTTTCTTCAATGAAGTATATGCAGTTAGTTTTCACATTTGCATTTTTGCTATTAATGCAAAATATGCCTCCAACATATCCTAAGAATATGGTACGCTCTCCTATAGTCTCCATCTCCATCCATTTTCTTGTGCACAAATCCGCTCTAAAGACTCGTATGTCTTCTACCTGACAACGCCTTTTTGCAAAGTAAATTTTTAAAACTAATAAAATTTCACCACAACTTTCTGTAATGTAACCATCTGTAGATAAACTGTCGCGTTCAGGTCTTCTTGAAAATGGCTCCTCAAATAAATTATCACCAATCACCTCTTGAAATTGTACACTTTGACCATCAAATTCAACACGTACTAAAGTGGTACGATTTTTCCTCAATCCATACAAATTTCCACCAAAACTTGTGAATGATTGGATTAAAGTATCATCCCTTAACATTTGCGTCACAAATGCTTGTTCACCAATCTTGCAAAAATTGATATTAGAAATACCATTGTAGGGATCATCTTTAACCAATACAACATAACAAGAAGGATCATGAGGACTAGATGAAAGATAAGCAAAATGCGTGAATGGTTCCAGTTTTGGAAGTTGCACCCTTTCGTGTGAATAGACATTATAAAGTGAGATATCGAGATTGTGGCAATCTTGTAACACCATCCATCCGTCCTTACATGCCTGCGCACTCTCATACTTGTTGTACATGAAAGAATAGTCAATATTATAATAATACTGTTGTGTGAAACTATATAGTGTAACTCGTTTATTTTGATAAAACAAGAGGTAAGGGTGCGATTGCGGTGGGGGGAAACTGGGCAGCAGCATGGTTTTGGCATCATGATCAGCAACCAACTCCATAGCTCTCAGTTAAAATTAAGGGAAAGAATATTACCAGCAAGAAAATTCGATTTAAGAAATTCAAGGTTCTGGCCTGACTTTGTGTTTTGTGTTGCATGCTGATGACAGATGACTCTACAGCTTCTTTAATAGCCTTCAAGATTACCTTTTAACTAATGGGATT